CTAACACAGCTTTTGGTTTCAAATTTTTGAAGCCAGATATTGGGGCACGAAAATTTTGGACAGAAATGATTTTGCAGAATGTGAAGGACGATGATCATGTATAAACCAGAAAATGTTACCAGGTACACTTTAAAGGTGACGAAATATTGTTCTCTCGAGGTACTCGAAACGGGTTCTATGGTTGCACCTAAGGCGAACTTGGAAGATGTTTGCACAAATCCGGCGCATAAGAGGTTGATGCACCCTGTGTTAGCGGAAGCATCTTGCTGCAAATCCAAATAGAAAGATTAGATATGAATTCATGGAAATGTTTGAGATGTTCCAAAGTCGATAGGTCATGTAATGATGTTACTTACAGTCCAGTAGGCGAAAAGACGTGTGCGAGAGTCTCCGAAAACCTTTGGATTCACCTATAATGGCCATCAGTACGGTTTACTGTATACGATTTACTGGTAAAGCAAAGTATAATTATACTTGTAGCTAGGGATGTCAAAATACGTACCATCCAACCAGCTTCTATGCTCTCAAATGTATCTGAGATCAATGAAATGCCACCAACCAGCCAGATTTGGGAAGAGCTGAAATCGCTAGCCTGAACTCTCGGAGGGTTCCAAATATTTATATCGGATTGAGCGCCAATAAAATTGTACCCTAGAGCGAGAAGGACGGCTTCCTGTAACATCAACAAAAATGAAGTGTTTCTAGGTAACCATATCAAGTTTATATAGTTTTCAGTTAGCTAAAAGGGCGTATTCAAAAAAATTATGTTTAGTTTCGACATGTTTGATTTTAGGTGATTTTATGGAATTTATAATGAAAATCTTTTACATTATTCTTTAACAATAGTAGAGTTTGGATTTTTTTTTAATTTTCTAACTAATAAATAATTGAGTTAATTAGCTCAATATTATGTTTTGAGCAATGAATTAAGAAACTAACATGTTCATTAAAGAATTTAGGTGAATAGCATAGAGAAAAAAATACTTAGACAAATTTACCCCTATGAAATTTAGTAATTATTGGTGGTAATAAAGATCTATAAAGATCATCGTTGAAGAATATGGAAAGCAGGGTTAGCGGTGGGTCTCGAAAAGGAAGGAGAAATATATATAGTTGACTATATTCGATTTCTTTTATGTTGTTAGCTATAATTCTAATACCGTAGTTAACTATTTGTTTCATATGGCAAAATGGACTATGGTTGTTGTGATGTTGGGTGAATGAGTTGTTTTGAAGACTGGTGTTCGGGATTTCAAACCTAACCAGGACGAGTTGTTCAAATGTGGTTATTGTGTCCGTAGAAAACATAGTTAGCTATGTCATGA